CAAATATCATTGCTAAGCGCAACGTCGACCGCCACCACCGTCCCGTTACGCAGGAACCCGATGACATTGTGCTATTCGACACCCAGAACCTCCGTCTGCTCATCACCCCGAAGTTACGCCCACGACCTGCGGGCCATTTTACATGAACCACATTATCACCCCCATCCGTCCACATATTCCTGCTCGTTGACTCGTACGTCAGCTCGTCATTCCACACCAACTTCCTCTGCCCCTACGTCCCTTCGATGAGCCAATTGTCATGCAGCCGCCCGTCCAGCATGACGCGCCAACCAACCTAGCCAAACATCACCTTCGAAAAAATACTACCAAGTTCGCGACCCACGTGGAGCACGATGCATCGAGTTCCTGATTTGCTGAAAAGATCGAACACCCACTGAAGTCAATTTGGCCCCCCTGGACAAAGTTGACAACCACCCTGTTCTCACCGAGTACCCGCGGAGCAAGAACTTCCGCGATATACGCGCACTTTGAGAAGGGGCCTCCTTAAGGGTGGTGGGTAGTGTAAGGAAACAACTTTCCCTTAATTCGCGTCACAATGCATACCGTGTATACGATAGTTCCTGCCATTGTAAACCTAACAGTAGTCTGTTACCACCTCTCAGCACTCGTCTCAATACGACCATCGCGCCCGAACCAACGAGCTCGGCTGGCAACCCGCTACCCAGCCCTACGCTCCGACATTTTCCCAACATCGGCATCAAAACTAAAGGGCTTTTTTGCGAGGGCGTTACCGTCATACCCCGGATATAAGCGCCACCCTCGGATAAGCGCCTGGCGCTTTTAATTGGCGCATGGCGCTTATATCCGCTGTTCGATTATAAGCGCACCCCCTGAAAAAACTTGTTTTATTATAAGCGCACGTAAACTTTAAAATTTGAAATGTGTTCAAAATGCTGTAACGATTTTTACTTTAGCAGGCGGATGTGTTGCAGATTCGGTTCCCTTCACATTCGGACCCTGCACTGGATGCGGGTCCAGTCAGCAGGAGCTGTCAGGAGCTGTCAGGAGCTGGATGTGAGTCAGATTGGGTGTATCTCCCAGCGCGCGCGAGAATTTCACAGACGACCCCATGTAACTTCTGTTGGAAACAGCAGTTGAAAGTTAGAAACGAGAAAGAGGGTTTGCACTAGCAGCAGGGCCCTCGTTAGCAGACTAATTTAGTCTGTTGGTCTAGGTTTCAGGCACGAAATGTGTAGTTCATATGCTGCGGCAGACTTTAGCTTATGGGCCATATGTGAGCCAAGACCAAGGCTATAGCATCATATGTTTTTTCAGGAAACTTATATAGATTCGTCTGATCAAGCAGAAATCGCGTATTGATTCGTCTGATAGAGACAAAATAGCCCAGTTGGCCAGAGGAGTAGCGATGTGTTGCATGTGAAGGCACGCGTAATGATTTCTGCGTGAGGGAACGGGGGTGAATTTCGGATTCTTCCTGCCAGCGCATACTGCATCTGACTCAGTTGCTGCCACGCATCTGTTGGGTAGCTGTTGTCGGCGCCGCTGCCAGGCTGTTGCCTGTTTCGGCATCTGTGGCCACAACTCTACCGGCGATTTCTGTTTCTCGCATTAGAGCAGGGAACGGCAAATACAAACAGCGAATTCTGAGCTTTGCCCGTCCCACTGCAGGTGTCCCGCCAGCAACCGCCCCCCGCTTTAGCACACCTCGCCCGGGCGCGTCACAGCCCGTCGCCGCCAATTCGTCGGAGGGAGTACGAGAGGAGCAAGCAGTATGTGTTTGTAGCGGCCACCATGCCAACGGGCACCAAGAAGAGCGTGGGGGAGGTACTCGCGAACCAGTTCCCCGCCGCCGTGTGGGTCAGCGGTGACCTGCTGCACCGCCACAACCCCTTCTCAGTGCCCATCATCGCACTCCACACCTGCACACCCACACACATCCAAAGGCTGTGTGGTCAGGGGGGGGCTGCCATGAGCTATTAACCCACCTGCCCCTTTCCTCTTTCTTCAACCCCTTTCCCCTTCCTCTTCTTCCTCCCCTTTCCCCTTCCTCTTCTTCCTCCCAATCCTGCCTCACTTCAGTGTTCGTTAGCTGCCAATTCAACCCTACTCGCCCCTCCCCATTCGCGTCATCGATCCTGCTTTTCCTCCTTCCCTATTTTTCCGAACCCCCACTACCCCTCCCAACCCCCCTTGTGTCAGTGTACGGCACGACTGGCATCAGGTGGATGACAGCTCGCGAGCCGCTGCAATGCTGAGAGCGCTGGCTGGTGGAAATGGTCAGCTGGAGGGAGGAGTGGAGAGCGGTGCAAATGGTGTGCCGAGTGCAGAGCAGCAGGACAGCATCCAGCGGACCATGGTCTTTGCCAACGACGTGGAATCGGTGGACGCCATTGGCCGGCTCCTCCAGCGCCACCTGTCCTCCTCTGCTGCTGCCACGTCAGCAGTAGTAGCCGATGACATGGCGGTAGGAGGAGCCGCTGATGTGGCAGCAGAAAGGGGTGCTGACGTGGCATGGTGTGCAGTGTACCACAAGGACGTGCCGCTGGACGAGCGGGAGCGCGCACTGAGAAGGTTCCAGGAAGGAGGGGGTGTGCTGGTGTGCACTGATGCTGCTTCAAGGGGAATTGACGTGGAGCATGTGTCTCACGTGGTGCAGGTGATTGCGAGGAGAGAGAGGGGGGGGTTATTTGGAGGGGGGGTGGATGTGCAAGCGAGTGGAGAAGAGTGAAGGCTGCATGGATGGGCGGCACAGAGAGGGATTGACTTGGTGCATGTGTCACGTGTGGTGCGGGTGAGGGAGAAAGAAGGGGGGAGAGGGGGGAGGCGAGTTTAGGGGGCGTGGAGGAGGAAGGAAGTGCCATATATTGCTAAGGCAGGGCTTGCTGAATCACATATCTGTACGATAGTCACCTACCTCGCTCTCATGCCCTGCTCTTCGTCCTTTAACTGCACCGCTCTGATTGATGTCTGAATTTCTGCACCATGTGGGCACAATCCACGTCATGCACTTCTCCTCCCTCCTCTCTCCTTCCCTCCTCCTCCTGCATCCCTCCTCCCAGGCCGAGTTCGCCCTCAACGCCCCTGGCAGAGACGGGCAGACCATGGCAAAGAGCACATTGCTTCAGATTCAGAGCTAGACGAGGACGACGAGGAATATTATTCTCATGATAGCGATAGTGAATCCTAGTTCAATATGAATGTATGGTTAACTGTAGTAATAGAGTAGAGTAGAGTCTAGTCTGTGTGTAAACTATATAACTAAATAAATGTCTGATTTCGTGAAAATCTGTCTGAGCCGACATACTAACTTATAAAATCCGTCTGAGGCAAAGCCCACCAGGAATCCTCCATATGAGGGCCAGACGAATTATTTTTTTTCTTGGAAAACGTCAGACGGGCCTAAAAGTTAGCAAGAGCCCTGACTAGCAGGCAGTTGAGTACATATAGGAAACCCTAGGTTGGGCTGTACTCACTATTGAGTACCCCACTGCAGGCTAGACAAATATAACATTCAGACAACTTCGACTCGATTGGAAAGGCAAGCACGAGATCTACAGTTTGGTGTTAAAAAATAGAAAAATATAAATGTCATTTTATAAACGCCGGCGCTTATAAATTTACTCGATTATAAGCCCCCCCCCTGAAAAAAACCTGTTTTATTATTGCCCCCCATGGGGGTATATCCGGGGTATGACGGTACCATTGTCGAAATGCCTTCATGATTTAACATTTGCTTTGGTAGTGCAATCTTCGTTCGCTAAAAAAATGTCGGGAAATCATAAAAAATAACAGTTAACATAAAAATTGTAGTACGGTACCTTCTAAAAGGCAACTCACTGTAGCCTGGCATAACCAACAATATACAAACCTATGTTTGAAAACAATATAGTCAGTTCAGTACGAGTCTATCTGGAAAGTCAGTGTTGCAAGTATACCTCCATCTAAGTTGTATACAGAAACGTTTTTTATTTTTCAAGCTTCAAACATAAATTTCAGCCATTGGCTCCTACTAGAGTCCAAAATTGAAGGAGATCAAGGCGTTTTACACTTGATAAAAAGGCTTGCAATTAGTAAGGAACATGGGACCCCATAACGATTATCATAACGCTAATGCGTACAATCACTGTATTCTAACGGATTTGGTAATTGCGACAGTGTGCGTGTACAGTGCGGGACAGGGCCGAAACGTGCCCTGTCTTGTTGCGATCGTGCAGTACAATGCACGCACAACAATGACGACACACGCCCGAGCCCTGAGGTGCCACACGCACGTGTCGGGACCAGCGCGCGGGTTTTGACTTTCACTCTTTTGACCAGCGTGAAAATAGTCAAGGCGCCCCTTGACCAGTCAAACATTCGAGCCCCCCCAGATACACCACTCGCTCGCATGAGACCCCAATGAGCCTCGCATGAAAAACTCGAGGTTTATGGGACTTTCATGGTCGCTCGCATGAGCCTCGAATGAAACATTGAAGTCCCATGCGAGCTTCGTTTGAGCTCCATTGGGTCTTCATTTGTGCACGAAATTGGAGGCTCTTTTGAGCAATTCAAGAGAGGCTCGTTTGAGCACTTTGTGAGAGGCTCATTTGAGCGCTTTATGAGAATACTGAAAACGCAAAAAAAAATGCACTAACACTAAATGCAATTACGAATGAAAATGAAACGCAGAAAATGAGAATGAGAATGGACACACACACAAAATGCAAAATGTGTCAGAAAGAATGAACGAGGATGAATGAACTAGCAAAGAGTTGGGTACAAGTACTAACCCTAATTGGGTTGTACCCAGGGCTGACGTTTCACTTTAGGGCTCCTTGATGCCGCAAACTTTTTTTTTCCCTCGATTATGAGTGCACATTGTTCAGGAGATTGTCGCCCTGATAGCTCAGGGTTCAACAACTAGTCACTCTGATGAGTCAGGGTCGACAGCCTGAATTCAGGGTTGTGTTTCACATTTTACTAGGGTGATTACTGCAATGTACAGCCTGTAACAAATTTCCTCCTACATCTACTCTACTCTAGTGCACAGGCCTATCGATGTGGAACACTTCCTCCACATCCTCATCGTCCGAAAGGAAGGGATTGTCCTCCTCCTCCTCCCCCACAAGCTCCTGATCGTCGCCCAGGGCCTGTTCCACATCCACCTCCTCCTCCTCGTCCTCGTCCCCATCGTTTTGGTGGGCAGCTCCTGCTTCGACTTCACCCTTCTTTGCTTTCCCCCTCCTTTCGCGATCAGCCACAGCAAGCTTCACGCTCTTTGCGGGGCGCCTCCTCCTCATAGACCTCCAGACCTCCAGGACGTCCGGCCACTCGATGTCGTAATTCAGGAGCGAAATCTGCATCAGCTCCCCCAGCCGCGCGTTGCAGAGAGCGCCGCGCACCCAAGACTTGATCATATTTTGCCTCGAGAATCCTCTCTCGCACTCCACAGTTGACAGGGGGAGCACCGCGATCGCCTGCCACAGGAGGACGAGGCTGGGCCACCTCCTGCCAGGCACATTGTCGGAGATGGGTGGGAAACAGAGTGACCACATGCACAAAATACATTAGACTCTCACATGGCATACCATGCTGTCACACTACGGGGACATACCTCTTCGAGTCCGCGCTCCCGAGAATGTTGGTCAGTCCCTGCGTGAAGCTTTCCAGCTCGTGGTGCGCCTCCATGATCGCACAGAATGTGGGAAGCTCCCTCTCTGTGGCCTTGAGGTCGAATCCCGGCAGCTGGTGGCGGAAGAGTTTGCTGCATCCCAGAAGCCACTCACGGCACTTCTTCTCCCGTTGTGCCTTGATCTTCGGCCACTTTCCGGCCCGAAACAGCTTCGTCGGCCCCAGCTTCCCCAGGTCATCAAGCCGCTCATTGAGATTGTCCACGCAATCGCGGGCAAAACTGCGGCACAGCTTCACGCACTCCTCGTATCCGCTCCCCACCTTGTGCCCCGGGAGCTTCCGCTCGTGCATGGTGTATAGATGGTTCACTGGGCGTCCCTCCCCGTCCACGCCTCTCACACGGACCTTCTTGCCTCCACCATGCCCGTGCAGCTTCAGAAAGCCGACCAGCCAGCACTTGCCCTCGCCACCAAACTGCTTGTCGGTATCCAAATACCGCTCAGTCAGATCCGCCGTGGTGGCCTCGATGGTCTTTGCAATCTCCGTCACATCAATCTGTAAGGGCAGTCATACAGGACATGTCATTTTACATCCAACACTCGAGAAATTGGAGACACTAGCAGAGGCGTGTTCGTGGAAGATTAAACAAACTCACATCTCGCTTCTGGAAACAGCGGTTGAGGTCGTTCATGTCGGCGAGGAAGAACAGGCAAAACTGGAACTTGTAGCACGTGACGATCTCGTACACCTTGTGACTCCGCTCCCAGAGAAGAACGATACACGCACCGAGCACCTTGCACAGCCGTCGCACCGCATCTCCACGTGAGAGCCAGCGAACCGTGTGGATCCCCTGGACTTCTAGGTTAGTGTTGTAGATCACACGCTGCAGGTACTTGAACCGTTGGCTCCAGACTGAAGAATCTCCTAGTTTTGCCGCCACGGTGCGCACCACCTTGTCCACCATGCCGAGGTCGGGGTTGGATGTCGCCGCGTCCTTAACAGCCAGCGCCTCCTTGCAAAAGACAACGGTAATAATTGTTGAGTAGAAATCAGGCAAGCAACATGAACTGAATCAATAACTGGCACTAAAATTTACCGGTGCGCGATGCAGTGACAGGAAAAGAGATGCGGGGCGTGCTCCCTGATCCGCGCCACCAATCCGTTGTCCTTCCCCATCATGACCGAAGCCCCGTCCGTACTGATTCCGACAAGCTTCGACACGTCGACGCCTGCGGAGCGCAGATGATTCATGAGCACCTCGAACAGGGACGCAGCATCACACTTCTCCACAGTCAGGAGGGTGAAGAACTCGGTGACGACTCGGCGGTCCATGATGAAGGTCAGGTAAACAATCATGTATTTACCACGCGTTCGGTCAGTGCTCTCGTCGCATTGCAGGCCCAGGAACGGTGAGGAGTTGATGTGGTCCATCTGCGCATTCGTCAAGTACGTACTGAGGCAGTGAACCATCTGCTGGAAGCCGTACCTGCGCAGAGATGTAGGTCCTTCAGTTAGTCTTTCTGGGGGAAAATATTTCATTACCACGAATTCAATACAGCAAGATTGTAACTAAAATGTCCTACCGTGCGAGATAAACACCGTAAGACTGTCTTGGGATGTCGGGCGTGTCCTGCTCCGCGAGATGCCGCATCAACCTAGGGTACATGCTTATTGGCGCGTCGCACTTGCACAGAAACACAACCGACCGCAACAGTCGGACGGCGCGCCTGCCCTCGACGTCCGAGTTGATGAAGTTCGAAATCACTTGCTGCCCTTCGCGGATGCCTCTCGCAATCTTCAGCTGCCGGTCAACAGCCGCTTTGTGCGCGTCCGTGTGCTCGTGTGCGCGAAACGCCTGCGTCTGCATGTCACGGCCTCCATCATCACCCTGCCTTGCGTACCTCGTGTTCTCCTTCCCGTAGGCCATGCAGACACTGCACTTCACATAGGGAAACCCATTCTTGGTTTTTCCGAACACAAGCCAGGAGAACTGTCCCGACCACCTCGTATCGTACATCTGCTCCCGCAGCTGCGCCTTGGTGAGGGCGGGCGAGCCGGTGTCCGCGCGGATCGGGAACACATCTTCCTCTGGCGGTGCAGATGCAGCAGGTGGTGGATCAGCCGGAGTGTTCGAATCAGAAAGTCGGCGGCCTCCGACGAGCAGGGTATGCTGCGCCCACTTCCCTGAACGCGCTCTCTTAGGTGTGGAGGTAGCCGACGGAGGACCAATGGACACCCGCACGGTGCTTGGTGTGGGACTTGGCGCGGTCGGTTGGGGATCTTTGCTGCAAGAAGCAACAGCCGGGGGTATAGTGAAGGCGGCCTCCCGGGGAGACTCTTCAGGTGTGGCCGTGGGCGTGTCTTTAACTGCAGAATCATCTACGGTAGACCTAGGTGGATCCGGTGTTACTGGAGCAGCAGACCCTCTAAGAAAATCAAGCCCCAAGCGTGGCTCCGTGGCTTTCGGCGGTAACGGTGGCTCATCTGAGCCAGCCTGAGGCATGTCCTTGTCAGCCTGCTGGCCTTCCATGGCTGGGAGAAGCTAGAGATGGGGAGAGAGAGAAACGGAGAAATGAATTGAAAAAAGGGAACATAACAGCAGCACCAACAAGACCCTGGCTGTGGGAGGGGGGAAGCAAGAGATGGAGGGAGAAGGTGGGGTCAGCAAGAATCCACCGCGTCGCCACGAAATTGATGGCGCGGTGGTCGAAACAACGAGCCGTCATTGTATTCAGCCTTTCATGCAGGCCGAATACATTGAACGACTGCTTCACTGCCAGCGACGACAGCCACTAAGTGTCTCTCTCCAATGAGGGACACGTATTGTGATTTGCGCGGTGCGCGTGGCAGTAAACATGATGATTCTAGGTGCGCTGTCAAATTTGACAGCTGTGCTGCTGTACAAATGACAGTTGTGTTCTGTGTCGGTTCTTGTCACTAGTGCGCGTGAAACGAAGCCCCCACATGGTTAGGTGCGAATCATAATTACCCACATGGGGGGGTATCGAAACGAAGCTTCTACAAAGCTTCGTTCAGATAACATGACTTTCAGGGTCCACAGGTCGCGTACTCTGTATTGACAGGGTCCATGAAAACACTACACTGAGAGTGTATTGAGAATTTCAGGCTCCGCTAAATCAATACTCTGAATGGATCAGGGAACAAAATGTGAAAAACCTGATTTCACAGGGATCACAAGGTGAGAAGCCTGAAATCACCCTGAAATCAGGGTAATTACCCTGAAAAAATCAGCCCTGGTTGTACCCCTTATGGGCTACCCCACTCTAGCCTACAACAATGTAAGCACTAAAACGTTCTGACACACCCCCATAGACAAAGTGGGGGAGAACAAGTGGTCACAAATCCAGTCAAGAAAAGCAAAGCAAGCCCAGGGTGGATCACAAAGTCACCACACAATTCGACCACAAGCAAAGGGCCACAAGGCCAGCTCACATGCAGAGTTAGATAAAAGAGAACAAACAATACAGTGATCATACCCTAGCAAGTGCAAGCATGCAGGTATATATATAGATCACAGTACAAGCAGAGTCAAGCAATAAGCAAGTGAGGCAAAGTATGCACAAGGCCTAACACAGTAGCGAAGCGCTGATGATCACCAGGCGGAAGTGCCTTGGTGAATACATCAGCAGTGTTTGTGAGAAAAATAGACGAAAGAATGAATGAACTAGGAATGAGATGGGTACAAATAGAAAACACATAAGAGTTGTACCCTCTAAGAGCTACCCCACTACAGCCTAAATAGACCATAGCAGATATAAGTTTGACACACCCTCATAGGCAAAGTGGGGGAGAACAAGAGGTCACAAGACCAGTCAAGAAAAGCAAAGCAAGCTCAGGGTGGATCACAAAGTCACCACACAGTCTGAGCACAAGCAAAGGGCCATAAGGCCAGTTCACATGCAGAGTTATATAAAGGAAAGCAAACAGTACAGTGAACACAACCTAGCAAGTGTAAGCATGCAGGTATAAGTATATAGAGTACAGTACAAGCAGAGTCAAGAAGTCAACAAATGAGGCACAATAGGGACAAGGCCTAACACAGTACAGAAACGCTGATGATCACAAGGCTGAAGTGCCTTGGTGAAAACATCAGCAGTGTTGGCCTGAGAGGCCACGTAAGCAAGACAAAGCTGGCCACGCTGCTGCAACTCTCAAGCAAGGAAGTAGCGCAGAGCAATGTGCTTCGTTCTGTGCTCCAGTCTGTGCTCCTGACACAAGGCCAGCATGGCCTTGTTGTCGACGTACAGAACTGGAGGAGAATGAGGCGCCTCTCCCAAGTCGGTCAGCAGGTAGGTGAGCCAGCAAAGCTCCTGTGCAGCCATGGCCCCAGCGTAGATCTCAGCCTCACAACTGGAGCTGAGAACAGAAGAAGAGCGGGTAGACCGCCAGGAGACAGAACCGGAGCCAAGGCTGAAGGTGTAACCCTGTGACGACCGCTGCGTAGCCAAGTCGTCAACCCAGGAGGCGTCAGCGTGACCAGTGAGGACAACTCGAGCCCGTCCTCCAAGCACGAGCCCGATGCCCGATGTACTGCACAAGTATCGCAACACCCTCTTCGCAGCATCCCAATGCACCTTTCGGTGCCTGCCGGGAGCCACGTAGCGAGCCAGAAGGCTGAGAGGGTATGCGAGGTCAGGTCGTGTGCAAGTCATCAGGTACATGAGGCAGCCCACAAGCTCTGGATATGGGCCACTCGGCTCTACGGACTCGTCCGAAGGTGGAGCTGAGAGCGAGTGACCGGTAGGCAGAGAAGTGGACTGTGGCGAGGAGTAGGTGAAGCCGAAGCGCTGAAGGACCTGCTGCACCATGTGTGACAGAGTCAAGGTAATGGTGCGCTGTGCTCTGTCCCGGGTGATCCGCAAGCCAAGATAGCTTGTCAGCTCACCCAGGTCTGTGCACGTGTGTCTCTTCTGCAGCTCGGACTTCACGTGGGCGAGTGCCTCCATGTCAGTAGTAGCAAAGACGAGGTCGTCTATGTACACGAGAACGTAGAACGGCGGCAGAGTAGTGTCACTGCGTAGAAACAGAGAAGGGTCAGCAGTGGAAGGAGCAAAACCAAGAGAAGCAAGAGTCGTCCTGAGCGTGTCGTGCCACTCACGGGGCGCCTGGCTGAGACCGTAGACTGGCCGCCGGAGGCTCCACTGGGTACCAGCAGGAAACGACCCAGTGAAGCCAGGTGGGCGGCGCAGCCAGATCTCCTCGTGCAGGCTGCCCTGGTGAAGTCAAGCGAGTGGAGCTCGTAGTCACGCTGAGCAGCAATGTGCAGCAGTACCCGAAGAGTGGTCATCTTCGGGGTAGGGGAGAAGGTCTGAAAGAAGTCAACTCCCTGTCGCAAACTGAAGTCACGTGCAACGTAACGCGCCTTGAAGGCAGGCGGAGAACCCGGCGGCCGCTTCACCCTGAAGATCCACATGCCACTGACGATGTTCGCCCCAGGTGGGGGAACCTCGTCTACGTAGGTGCCTGTGGACTTCCAGGAAGCCATCTCTGCGTCCATGGCTGCCTGCCACTGAGAGGAGTAGGGACCCTCTATC